GGGGGGGGGGGGGGGGGGGCACCCAGTCCGTCTCCGCAGCCTTGCCCTTGGGGGTCTCCGGCATAGCGAACGCAGGTGCGCAGGTCCGAGCCGCACTGGAGGTGGCAACTCGTCGGAGCTTCCGGCTGGGGACATCTAGGGGAGCTGGTCGTTTCCGCAGGCCCAGGCGAAAGGAGAAGATGAATTAAAAAAAAGAATTTTAGCATTGAGGGAAGGAGAAAACAAAAAAATGAAAAAGGGCGACGCGGACAAAGACAGCGCTGTCAGGTGTCTCGAGGTGGATATCCTTTGGCCGCGTTGGATAGCGAGGATTGGTGTGGGCCGCCCTCCAAGAATAGAGCTCTATCTATGGAGAGAGAGAGAGGCACCACATAGACCAGCTCAAGTCTATAGCAGCACCGCAAGCAAGTTGCAGGCAGAGAGAGGCGTTGACCGCCGCCGGGGTTCCGCGGTCAAATGGGAGGGCGGCGGGCGGCGGGTCACATGTACATGTCCTTGCACTGTTGCTGCAAAAAAAGTTGGGAGGCACTCAGCGTCATATTGTTCGCCGATTCCAAATCATGCATTTGGGGGCGTCCTACTCGTCGCACCAAATCGCCCACCCATGCCACCGGCAGCAGTATCACTTGTGCGCGCGCCAGAGGCGCACACGTCGCCCCGCCCGAAGTCGCCGCTGCGGGCCTGCCCGCCTTGCCGAGCGAGCGACGGCACGGCAACGAGCGCCAGCAGCCGCTTCTCCCAGAGGAGTCTCGATAGGTGGACGTCGACCGGCCCGAGGACGGGCAGGTTGCGGAGTAGTAGGCGCGCCGCCGCAGGCCAGACGAAGTAGGAGGAGGAGTGCCACACGTAGGAGGCCTCGCGGAGCAGCAGCTCTGCCCCGCCGGGCGTGGTGGGCACGCGGCGCGTCTGCTTGAGCCCCCGCGGAGGCACGTCTCCGCCCACGTATAGCAGTAGCGTCCGCAGCTCGGGAGCGAGCGCCGCCTCCGTAGTTTTAGCTTCCTGGGAGAAAAGGGAGAGGGTTGTGTTCTCTAGGCCCCTAACACGTCTACCGTGACTTGGCGTTTGTCTGTTGGCTTTGCCTTTATATAAAAGCGACCCTTTTCCGAGCGCAGTTACTAGACCCCGATACAAGCCAGCCGTTTTGCTAGGCGGGCTACCGGGACCGGCACCGGCACCGGGACCGGCGGACACACTCGCGGGCATGGGTCGGCTGACGGTTGTCTCGCCGACAACCTAGACCGCGCAGACCTGCTCCTCGAGGGCTGAGGGCTCGAGGGATTCGAGAAAACGGTCAGGTTGCATCCCTCCCTGCTTCCGAAATTCTCCCACCCCTCGTTTGGCGTGCCCGTTTTATTTATTTATTTATTCTGAAATTCGCAAGTTATGGAAGATGCAAAGAGACGGAGGAGCAACTTGGCCTGCACAAGCTTTTCCGGCAAACAAAAAGGAAAACAGAGGGGCCCCAGCACTTTGCGTTTCCGGAAATTTCCAGGGAAAACAGAGGGTGTTTGGTGCTCCATTCTGGAAACTCGCGAGTTTCCCTGAGTCTGAGAGCTGGTCTGGGGCAAAATCTGAGGCAAAATTGAGGAAATCGGCACGATACCCAGGCGGTCGCAGGGTAATTTCCAGGTACACACGGGTTCTCCGCGAAATTCCCGGCATTTTGCCGATTTGGCCTAAAATTTGGCTGATTTTGGGCCCAAACCAGCCTCAGACTCGGCTCAGAGCCCGGAAAATTTGATGGTTTCCCCGGGAAAACAGAGAGGAAAAAAGAGGGTGCTGTAGAGAAAAAAGGAAAGGAAAAGAGACGGGGTGCGAGAGGAAAAGCTTGTTCAGCCTAAGACACGAGCGGTCACCTCTGCCGCGCGTCCGCTCCGGCCGGTGAGGGGCTGAGGAGTGGGCATGGGCATGGGCATGGGCACGGTTTTTTCTTGTATCAGGGCTTTGAGGTGGAGCTCCAGAAATTCTTTCTATCCGTGCGAGGGAGTTTCGCGCCAAAATTCTTTCTTGCGCTACGGCTCCGGTGGTGTGCCGGTGATAGTACTAGCACGCGCCAGTTCGCACCTGTGTCGAGCCTGTCTGCTGTGAGAGAGAGTTGTTTTGTCTAACTCTTCTCTTCACAGAGCGACCCGGTCGGGCATGCTCTACCTCCACGTCGGCCAGGCTGGCAACGAGGTCGGCTCGGCCTTCTGGCGCCTCGCCGCATCGGAAGGTCCGCCGGCCGGCCGCGTCTTTGACGAGAAGGGCCGCTGCCGTGCCGTCTTTGTCGACACCGAGCCAAAGGCGTGCGGCGGCCGCCGCCAAGGCCCTGGCGTCGGCCAGCCAACCGCGAGCCGCAAATCTGCCTCAGGTGATCCACGGAGTCGCCGCTGCCATCGGCACCTCTCGCGTGCACCCGCAGTGCATGCTCGCTGAGCAGAGTGGCCGCGGCAACAACTGGGCGGCCGGGTTCCACGGGCCGCCGGGAGGCGGCGGCCGTGGCGGCGGCGGCAGCGTGTGCGACGCGGCGCTCGAGGCCCTGCGTTGGCAGTGGGAGCGGCGCGGCTGACCGCGTGGTGCGGTCTGCCGCCGCGCGCTCGACCTGAGCGGTCTGCGTCTTTTGCGCAGGTGCGACGGCTGCCCGGGAGTGATGCTCGCTCATTCCCTGGGCGGCGGCACCGGCTCCGGCCTAGGCTCGCGGCTCGTGCAGGAGCTGCGCGACGAGCACCCGCGCGCCTACCTCCTCGCCTCGTCCATCGCGCCCTTCGGGGCGGGCGAGCTTCCTCTCGCCGCCTACAACGGCACGCTCGCCCTCGCCACGCTGCAAGAGCACTCCGACGCGGTCTTGCTCTTCGACAACGCCTCGCTGATGAGCCGGCTGCGCGACACCGCCGCCGCCGCCGCCGCCGCCGCCGGCCCGCGAGCCGCCGCCGCCCTCTCCTCTGGCTCTTCCGGCCGGCTCTGCCTGCGGCAGATCGACGACCACGTGGCGGCCTGCCTCTGCGGCCTGGCTCTCCCCGCCGATTATGGCGGCGCGGCGCGGCCGCAGCCCTTCCTCCCGGGGCAGCTCGTCGCTGCCGTCGCGCCGCTGGCACGCTACAAGCTGCTCGAGCTCTCCACGGCACGCGGACCGCAGGCGGCACCGCCCCCCTCCGCCGCGCCGCCTCCTCCGGCCACGGCAGCATCGCCGCACTTGCCGCCTCCGCCGCCGCCGCCGCGGGGCGCCCGCCGGCCGGTGAACTGGAGCACGCTCGGCGACGAGCTGGCCGAGCAGCTGCCTCGCTTCGACCTGCAGCAGCGCCCAGTGACGACACTCGCGGCGCGATGGCGCTCGCGCGCCGCCAGCCGTCTAGCAGCCGTCCTGAGCCCCCTCAGAGCCCTCCTGTGCAGGCGCTCGCCCTCGCGCGCGGCGCGGGCAACGAGGCCGTCACTGACCGCGACCGCTCCCGCCTCTGCAAGCAGCTCGGCCCCTCCGCCGGCGCCGGCACCGCGTGTGGTGGGGCCCAACCCCGTGGCCGCCGGAGTGACTGCGCCCCGTCTGCCAGCAGGCCAGACCGTCGAATGGTGGGAGGGGACGTCGGCCGCGTGCGCTCTTCCGGGCACGGGCGCACCGCGCACGCTCACCCTCGCCGCAAACCGCACCGCCGGCGCGGCTCACGTGGGTCAGCTGGCGCTGCGGGCGGAGCTCATGCTACTGCGCCGCGCGTATGCGCATCACTACGACGAGTACGGCGTCGGCCTCGAGGAGATGCAGCAGGCCGTGGGGGAGGT